TACCTTAACCTGTTGGCAACTAGGACACTGCACGGCAAACTCATCAATGTTCTTCTTCATATCGTTCCACCAGTACACATCCTTAATGTCATGATACATCTTCGTCGACCCAGGATGAATGGAGTACCACGAATAATGTATCTCTGACATAATCCTATCTTGTAGCCCTGCTACATCTGGAAAACACAAACGACCCCTATATCTAAGAACCCCATCTCCGTTGAGCTCTAACAACGGCTTCTTCTGCTGCGGAACTCGCTCTCTCAGCTCGACCAACTCTGGGTCCTCGTACTGCCTTTCCTTTACTTCAGCTATGAGAGATGATTTTGCAGTATTTTGGAGTACAACTCTACCATTGCCAGAGTCTACTAACCAAACCCCTAAACAAGCCAATTGATGAATCTCTCTAGTTAATTATCTTTTCTCGGCCTCTTCATGTGCTAAACTACCTATAGATCGGTAACTTAAGGCATCTGCTATAACATTAGCTTTCCCTGGATGGTAGAGAATGTTAACATCGTAATTTTTTAATAACTCAAGCAACGCCTCTATCGCAAATTCAACTCTTTTTTCTTGAAGATATATTGCAGGCTTTTATGATCTGTGAATACATCAACATAAACACCATATAAATAATGCCGCCATATCTTAAGTGCATGGACAACTGCAACTAACTCGAGGTCGTGGGTTGGATAATTCTGCTCGTGCTTCCTTAACTGCCTTGAAGCATACATAATTACTTTCCCATGTTGTATCAGGACACATCCTAACCCGACACCTGAGGCATCACAATACATGGCATAACCATCTGGACCTTCTGGAAGTGCTAGAACTGGCACTGAGGTCAGCCTGTTCTTAAGCTCCTGGAAACTCTACTTGCAAGCCTCCATCCACTGAAACTTAGTTGCTTTCTGCTTCAACTTCTTTAATGGTGCCGAAAGGGAAGAAAAACCCTCTACGAACCTTCGGTAGTATCCTGTTAAGCCTAGAAAGCTATGAACCTCTGCCAGAGTGGTAGGTCTAGGCCAGGATTTCACAGCCTCAATCTTCTGAGTGTTTACCTTTATACCTCCATTGGATACAATATGTCCCAAGAATGCTACAGAGTTCAACCAGAACTCATATTTAAAAAACTTAGCATATAATTTACTATCATAGAGGGTTTGGAGTATCGCTCGCAGGTGGTCCGCATGCTCATCCTTTGAACGTGAATAAACCAAAATATCATCAATAAATACTATCACGAACAGATCTAAAAATGGCCAGAATAGGCTATTCATCAAGTCCATAAATACGGCAGGTGCATTCGTCAACCCGAAGGACATGACAAGGAACTCGAAGTGGCCATATCGGGTCCTGAAGGCTGTCTTGGGAATATCTTTCTCCCGAACTTTGACTTGGTGGTACCCGACCTCAAATCTATCTTTGAAAAGCATCTAGCACCCTACAACTGATCAAACAAGTCATATATCCTTGGAAGTGGATACTTATTCTTAATAGTTACCTTGTTCAGTTGCCTATAATCGATACACATCCTCAGTGAGCCGTCTTTCTTCCGTACAAACAGTACCAGTGCACCCCAAGGTGAGGTACTAGGCCTGATGAAACCTTTCTCCAACAAATCTTTTAACTGCTCCTTCAACTCCTTCAATTCGGCAGGTGCCATTTTATACGAAGGGATGGATATTGGTTGAGTTCCAGGAAGCAAATCAATGCCAAAATTAATCTCTCGCTCTGGAGGATTACCTGGAAGTTCTTCTGGAAATACATTTGCATACTCTTTGACTACTGGAATAGATTAAAGTGTAGGTATCTCAGCATCTGCATCTCTAACTCTCATAATATGATAAATTCACCCTTTTGCGATCATTTTCCTTGCCTTCAGATAGGAAGTAAACCTACCTCTGGGTCTCACTGTATTACCTACCCATTCAAGGACTGGCTCACCTGGAAAATGAAATCTGGCTGTCTTTGCTCGACAATCAACTGCGGCATAGCAAGCGGCCAACCAGTCCATGCCCATAATAGCATCAAAATCCAACATCTCTAGCTCAACTAGGTCGGTTGAGGTGTGACGACCACAAACTGTCACCGTACAACCTCGGTAAACCCTACTAGCAATAATCACGATAAATGGGGTAATACACAATAAAATAGATCCTGGGTCTATCAAGGCATAAGCATCGTGAGAGGAAATGGTCAACATACCTGTCATAACGTCTGGTTAAGACTCCTGGTCCTGTCGACCCACTAAAGCATAGCTACGATTCTGGTTACCACCTGAACTGAAACCTCTACCTCTACCTCAACCTCTACCAGCCGAAGACTGAGACTCGCACCCTGAAGGATGCACGAACATAGATGATCCTGTTGCTGAATTCGTTGGTTGTGCCATAAACCCAGAATCTCTATTTGGGCAATCTCGCATCATATGCCTCGGACGTCCACATGTATAACAAGCATCGGAACCGGCTCGGCATTGGCCCAAGTGTCCTCTACCATAGAAGTCACACCGCAGTGGAAATTGCCATGTCTGCCCTGAACCTCGCTGTCGCTGCAAACCCGACGCCCGAGAGCTTTCACCTGGTCCTAACTGAGTATAGCGGCCATACCTGTAACCCTGTAACTGAGGTGGCGGAGGCCTAGGTAGACGTTCAAAGTACTGGGGCCTATAACTACTCTGAGACTGCTCCTAAGACCTGGCAAATCTCATCCTCTTACGCTGTCTTGACTCAGTCCTCTCTGTACCCTGTTGCCGATGCCTAACCCTTTCTATATTCTAGGCGAATTCCTGAATCCGAAAGATATACATATTATCCTGCGATGCAGCGGTGGCACATGCCTCGGTCAACTCTAGGACCAATCCTGCTATAAACCTGTGAATCATGTCCTGCATAGTAGCAACTATGGATGGTGCATATCTGGCCAATGAGTCAAAACAGAGACTATATTCTCGAACACTCATATTACGCTGCTTGAGGGCAAGAAACTGATCGACTCGAGCTTGTTGGATCTCCCGTGGTAAGTGTCACACCTCCTTTTTCCCGAGGGGATAGGGAGTTTTTCCAATTAAAGTGGCATTAATCGAAATGGTATTATTTATTCAATTTTTAGAGTCGCCACTTGGGATAATTATATGGTGTCCCAAGTCACCGGTTTACTTTAAATCCCAAATCGAAGAAATTTAACTCTGTTTTAAAGTCTACAAAAACCAGAAGACCGAGTAAGGAATTCTATTAACCAGGGAGAAGGTGTTACGCATTCCCTGGTTCTGTGATTTTAGCACAATCGCTTTTAATCATACCTGGCTTAGTTAGTTTGTTTAATTACGTACTTTTAGAACCTACATGCATTTTACCTCTTACCGCTTTTAATTACTTGATTATGGAATTATGGAATTATCTTGAAAAAGAGTCACGCGTACGTATACTCATCTCGTTTGACGCATCAAGAATCATGTCACGCGTACGTGTACACAATTAATCACGTTTTATTAATTATTAAGATTGTTCTCGGCCAAAGTTGCGTGAACGCATACCTCGATTTAATTTTAGAAATCATAATTATATCACGCGAACGTGTACACAATCACGATAGGACGTTTAGAAGCATACGACATTTAGGTGTTGCAATTTCAATTCTTCTACTTCATTTTGTTTTAGCTTTCATTTAGACTACATTTTATACACGTAAGTTTTCATTGGTGAAGTTGGTTAAACGTTTTCAGTCCAACCATACGGCCAAATACTTGTAGTCACCAAAATTGTAATCAACACGCATTAAACATCTATATCTTAATGAAGCAACGAATTAAGGAAACAAAACTCATTTTTAGTCGTGAAAAATCTATCCAAGAAGATTAAACAAAACCATATACAAACAATAATTAGCAAAACAAAACTGAGCAAACCAAATACTAATAGGACACACTCCAAAGCAGAGGAATAAAACGTTAACTCAGATGATCAACAAAACAGAATACAAACTGATTAACGAGGCTATCAAAATAAAAGCATGACTTTAAGCAAAAACAATAGAGGAAAGGGAGAAATAAACCTCGAATAAGTCTGAAATTCAATTGTATGATAGCTTTGAACTCAAAAATGTGACGAACCGCGGACGGAAACTCGAATCGACGGTGAGGAAGACCAAACTGCTACGTTTATGGAGTTTGAAAGCTGATTTCTGACTGATAAAGGCTGGTTCTAGAGCTGGATCTTTGATGAAGATGAAAGATTCGTTTTCTTTTTCGGATCTCGTTTTTATGCTCTGTTTTTTCTCGTTCCTGTTTCCCCTCTGTTTCTCGTCACTTTCATTTCCTCCTTCACCCCCTTTTTGTTTTTCAGAAAAGTCACTATATAGGCATGTATAGGAGTTATGGATGGAAGATGTGCAGGTGAATAGTATTGATCGTATGTGTGTGCAATGAAGTGAGACGTGTGAGAGACGTGAAGTGGGGAGTTGGGAAAAGATGAGAATCAGACATTTTTGTTTTACGAAACTTTATCTATTTTTTTTAACGTAAGTTTACTTCATTTTGTGTTCTTCTTTTTTTTTCCTTTTTTTGTATTTTATTTTAAAACAATTATGAAGATAAGAAGATTAACCGATATTTCTTAAAATATAGGAAAACTATATAATTACATGTACTTTAAAAGATACTAAGAAAGATTCTATAGCTTACTCATTAAAATTCTAATTAAAAGAACGCTAATATTTTTTTGTAAAATTTCTTTTTCTCTTTATAAATAAAAATGAAATTTGTACTATAAGTATGTGAATATTTTTGTAATTGTTTTATAATTTAATTTAAAAAAAAATTCAATAAAACCTATTAAGAGTAAGATAAAAGTTTAAAATATTAAAATTAGACCTAAAAAAAATATTTACACTAAAATAGTATAGAATTTGGGTGTGGTCCAAAATTAGTTGTTCACAACATGCCCCACTTTGCTTAGAAACATGAAAAATTTTCAGGCAAAGAAAATAAACAAGGTGACTGATTTTTGACCTCACTATTATTTAACAAGGAAAAGAAGATAAAAGAAAGAGATGTGGCCGAGCCTTGGTTTTAGGCAGCCTACATATCCCGGGTTATAAGGGAATCAAGTCATATGTAGTTCAAGTGAAAGAAGAGTGATGGAGTATGCTTAGAGGGAGAGTCGAGTGAAGTTCCATCGAGGTTTCGATCCGCGGTTCCTACTATTACATCAAAATGAAAAGAAGATTACATACTCTTGAAATCTAAGAATTACAAAATGCCTATCTTAATGCCATTTGAAGTCTTGTTTTGATTTTTGACTTGCTTCCTCCATTGACTTTAGACTTAAACTTGATCCTATCGATGCAACAGACTATGAAATATTCTCACAGCTTGTTCCTTGATCAGATGATAAAAGGATGGATCTTGAGACTCTATGTCTCCGCATGCATGCATTATGTCAAAGTTGGTTGCGGCTGGTATTTGAGATCAAACGTTGCACTTTCTTTGGCGAGAGATTGAATCTTATTTTTTCACATCCAGTCCGTACTTTGCAGAAAAACCTGCAAGTCATCAGAAACAAACAAAACGAACAAAATATTTCTGCCCCAGTTTGCACTAGAAATGTTTTGTGAGTTATTGAAAATACAATAAACTATCTTTCTATTGCAAAATAAAGAATTGAAAAAGAAATGAGATTTTTTTTTTTTTTT